CTGCTTCTCCCTCTCCCCCTCCCCCTGCTTGTGTTCCTGCTCTCGCTGTCTCTCTCTCTGTCAAATAAATAAATAAAATCTTTAAAAAAAAAAAATTAATATTGTTGTGTTTCTATTTTGTTCATTCTTTTGTAGTATCATCATCACCATTATCATCCAGTTAACATATCTACTCCACCAATGATGAACATTTGAGTGGTCTTAAGACTATTATAAATAACGCTATGATAAATATTCTTGAAGATATGTCTTGGTACATGTGTATGAATTTCTCTAGGCTATATATCTAGGGTGAATTTGCTGGGTTATTGGGATGGGAATCTTCAACTTCAGCAGACACAGCCAAACCTTTTTTTATAGAGGCTATCCAACTTATGCTCATACTTTATGGTAGGAATCTAAAATGTACAGTTACTTTGGAAAACAGTTTGGCAATTTCGCAAAAAGTTCAACGTCATATGACCCAGTTATTCCATTTCTAGATACCTGCTCAAAAGAAATAAAAGCATATATCCACACAGACTTATAAGTGCATGTTCATAGTAGCATTACTTGTAATAGTCAAAAGGTGATAATCCGAAAGTCCATCAACTGGTGAGTGGATAAACAAAACGTGGCACATCCATACAATGGAATACTATTTGGCCAAAAAAGGGAAGTACTGATACATACTACAACATGGATGAACTGTATATCTACTTATTTCCTGAATTATAAAAATTCCATCAAAATATTTTAAGCAGTTTGGTGGCAGGGTCCTGGTCCTTCCCTTGCTTCAAGCCACTTCTATTTCCTGTACTGGCCACATATTTTATTTCCGGCCCATGAATATACTCCAAAATTCTCCAACCAACCTTCTAGTCTGCTTTCTCCATACTCCCACAGACACTTCATTTGCTTTTTACAGTTTCTTTTATCATCTCTCAAATTTACCTTTCATGTAAATGTCGGCACAGAATCTTTACCTAGATGTTACCACGGATACTTAGGAACAATTCTGTTTCTAGAATAGCATCAATAAATGATCATTTTTTTAGGTACCATAGTTTACTTGAAACCCTATGTTAAAAACATAAATATATATATATCCATTAAAATATAAAATTCCTAATGCTTATAAACATATTCATAATGGTTTTTTTAACCTGACATTGTTTTAAAAGAGTTACAATTATTACAGATGAAGTTATAGAAAACATTAAGTCTGTAAACCAAATATTTCAACTTACCTCAAGTGGCATGAGTCTAATTAGTGTTGCAAAGCACTGTGTAGCCATGAATCTTACACTGTCTGTCTGATCACTCATTCTTCCCAACACAGGCACAACTAAAAGGACAATATATGGAACAATACCAACATCCAGTTGTTCCATTACACCTGAGTAAGTTATTAAGGAAATTTTCAAACTTTTTTGAGGTAAATGTTTTCACAAACGGATATATCAAGACTTTAACTTCTAAAATGTTTCTCCATTTTCTCATCTATATCATGAGGGAATAGACTGTCTCTCAAGATCTATGATTCAATTGTAACAGCATTTGTGCACCGCTCCTCCTTTGTAAATATTATGTAATTTTCTCTTGATTAAGACCATAAAATTAGGTTTTTCACCTGAAAGAGGCTGGAGGAAGTGGTTTTTTTTTTTTTTGCCTCTGTTCTTTTTTTTTTTTATTCTTATGTTAATCCCCATACATTACATCATTAGTTTGGCTGGAGGAAGTTTTAATCAGGTTTTTCTCATAGAGAAATTCTTGCAAGTTGCTAGAATTCCAATACCAAAATAAAATGAGCTACATTGCAAGCAAGGGAGCACAATTCAATGTCACTCAAAGATTAATTCCAAATTTCCAACCAGGATCCTGACCATCATAAACTGGACAGAGCAGGGCCCAATAAGTTCAGTCCTCCTGCAATCTTCAGCATTTCTGAACCAGAGTTTCTACTGATTTGATCTCCATCCATATTTCTTGCTCTTAGAAATATCTTTCAGATACTTCGAGTTAAAGAATGTCAATGGATGTTGTACCCATAGTAAAAAGCTTGCCTGTATATTTATTTCTAGTTATTTATTACAATTAGTCATTCTCCACCCACATAATGAACTTTGAAAACAGTATGTTTATAAAATACGGACTACATACACAGTGTCTGATTAGTATTAATACAACACTGATTATAAACCAATAATCAGTTACTAGAAATATATTTCATAAAGTACCTAAAATTATTTTTGCCAATTAAAAAAGATCTCTTAAAATAGTAATTCTTAAAACTCTCTGTATGAAAATTTTCAAAATAAAATGTAAATATATTTGTATTTATAATGTAATATAAAGATACTTCAAAATAAAATATAACAGAGTAGTTTTGTTTTTGGAACAAGACAGGTTATTTATGAACATTTAAATGAATTAATAAATTTTATTTTAGTCATCCTTAAATAAAATAATTTCTAAAGTTTGTAAAAAGAAGAAAGGATACATGCAAGTGCTTCAATTGCACCCTCTTGTTTGATATTGTCATCAATTGCTCCGAGCCATGGAAGAACCTTCTCCAAAAAAATATTCATTGTTTCCATGGTAGCTATTTTGCTCATGACGCCTACACAACGAGCAGCCATGTGCCTCACTGCAGTGCTGGGATACTGAAGGCACGTATAAAGATGAGGCAAATGCTGTACCAACTAAAAACAAAAGGTTCAAGACAATCAGAATATTCATTAGGGGATCTACTGTGTAAAATATAACTATTATAACCCATACTGAGAGGTTCTTGATATTCTAAATGACTAAATCCAAGAATATCTCTAATCACTTCAAACATTATTGTCAAAACATCCTCAATAAAAAATTAATCTAAATCCAAACTAAGGTACTGAAACTCTTTTTAAAATAAAAGGTGCGTAACTTCTCCTCTGTTCCTTTTAAGGCATCAGGGTGCACATTAAAAGGTACCTGTAAGATTTTCCTGAGGTTGGAGAAATGACACCACACATCACCAGTCCCCTCCCAGTTTGGTAGCTCCGGCTTAGGTTTAGGTACATATGTTTTTGTTTTTGGGTTTTTTTTTTCCAAGTAAGCTCTATGCCCAATGTGGGGCTTGAACTCACGACCCCAAGATCAAGAGTCACATGCTCTACTAAATGAGCCAGGCTGGCACCCCTAAATACATACTTTTTATTCACTGGGTTGAGTGATCCTGATCTTGTTCCAGGCACCATCCTTTGGTAGGTATCTCCCACTTTAACCTCCTGGCTTACCATAGGCATTATGATCACAAGGGCATGATATATCTCATTAATAAATGCCTGCTGCATGGAATACCAGGATTAATCTTAATGAGAGTCAGGTACATGCTGAATAGACTACCCTTCCAGCTAAGATGAATGTTAAGCTGATCATAGAAGGGTGAGAGCATACAGATGGATTCTGCCCTTCTCTACTAATGATAAATCAGCGAAATTTAACAAGTAAAAAGATATAACTTCATTAATATATATATACAGAAAAGGTTCTTCTCTTTCTCCTAGATTCACCCTTTTCTGTTAGATATCAATACGGAATTGGAGCTAGCACATGTAACAGCGCTGTAAACTGCAGAGTTCCTACTGTAGTTATATGGAAAGAATACTGCTTTCTTCTATGGAAAAACCAGATATTTAATTCTCTAGTCTATTTTACTCCTCCCTCTGTCACAATTTTTTTTTTGGAAATTAGTTAATAGTAAAAAAACACAAATCAGTGTTCTTTCTTTGCCACTAACTAGCTTCATCTCAGGCAGGTAACTTCCTCTACCTTTACACTTACCTTAGGAAAAGGTTTTATTAACTGTGCTCTTCCTTTCTTGGAGCTGTATTACTAAATATGGCATAAATTAATAGGGCTGTAACTTTCTTTCCGTTTATACCTGGCTTCTGTGTCATCAGAGCCCTGTCCCCACTGCTCCATATTCTAAGCTCCCAAAGTGAGTTTTCTAACATTCATGCACCAAATTCTGCCTCAAAGCCCACAAGAAATGTGCTGTCAATAAAGAAGGAATCTAGTTATACCACATAAAAGAAAATGCAATTACTAGGGATGACATCAAAGTTACACATTTTAAGCCTTAAGACTTTTTAATAAAACCACTTGTTTTATTAGAAGAAAACTACACCTGCATTAGTTAGTTACCAAGGGATGAAGCTCAGAATCCATTGAGGCTGCTGCTGTTTCAAAAACTTGCAAAGAATTCACCAATTCTTGGGCAGGACCATCTCCTTTTTCCAAGAGGGACTTTCCATCTATTAAAATATATTGATTTAAGTGTGTATCACCTTGCAAATAATTTTTCAAAGTCCAACTCAGAAAAATATGTACACACCAAAATTATTTATGTCGATTGTATTCCTCAATGGACCAACCATAGCATCCCAGAGATGTGGCAACTTCACTGCCATTTCACCACCAAAATGCTTCACTATAGTCGTCAAGGCAAATTCAGCTCCTCTTCGCTGTACCAGATAGGGTCTCTGGGCCTAAAATCAAATGTTAGTTAATAAAGGAGAGTTTTTAAAAAAGTATAATGGATTTGAAATTTTATCAAGAGAATTTAAAAGTCACCATCTAAGAATTCATGGTGTTACCATTAACCAATTAAGCAACTATAAACATTTTTATCACTATAAATGTCTTTTAATAATTAAATTTACATGGGCATAAAACCCCAAACTAGATTTTTCCAGCCAAAGTAAAATACTTCTTTGGAGCTGAAAAATAAGGAAAAGAAGAATATGCAGTTTCTAGAGATAGTCCTAAGTGACAATTTTTTCCCTTCTCCCTGCCCCAAAGAAACCTACCAGCCAGGGAGAAGATAAAGAGATAAAATGATCTGTCCTTTTATTTATATTCACTTAAAGGATACAATAAAAACATCTGTATAATCACAAGATTAATAACCTCTGATTTGGCAATAATTTCATTATAATACAAAAAAACTGTCCCTCCAGAAAGAGGCATATGTTTTTACAATTACTTTTTAAGTAAAGGAAGAACTATGTAAACCATAGAGATATAAATACCAAAATCACAGTAAATTTTTTATTAAAACTATTATGGGAAGGGGCGCCTGGGTGGCTCAGTTGGTTAAGCGACTGCCTTCGGCTCAGGTCATGATCCTGGAGTCCCGGGATCGAGTCCCGCATCGGGCTCCCTGCTCAGCAGGGAGTCTGCTTCTCCTTCTGACCCTCCCCCTTCTCATGCTCTCTCTCTATCTCATTCTCTCTCTCAAATAAATAAATAAAATCTTTAAAAAAAAAAATTAAAAAAAAAAACTATTATAGGAAGAATAGAATCAGTGAAAAAAACATTCATTCACAGAATTTTTTTTTTTTTAAAGATTTTATTTATTTATTTGACAGAGAGAGACACAGCGAGAGAGGGAACACAAGCAGGGGGAATGGGAGAGGGAGAAGCAGGCTTCCTGCCGAGCAGGGAGCCCGATGTGGGGCTTGATCCCAGGACCCCGGGATCACGACCTGAGCCGAAGGCAGACGCCCAACGACCGAGCCACCCAGGCGCCCCCATTCACAGAATATTTTAAAAGAAATACAGGTAAGAAGGTAAAATTTTTATTTAAAAAAGAAACTTAAAAAATATATTTTACAGAAATCATCAGACACATGTCTTTTAGCATTGATAGTTTATTGCTGAATTCAGGTAAATTTCTATGTCATGCCAACCAAGGGAGCTACCTAGAGCATCATTCCACAGTTAATACTGTGACTATAAACATCTCAAAAAACATTTTTTTAATTGTTCTTAAAGAAGACTGTACTGTAGACAAGTACACCAATGAAACAGAAAAGAAAGCCCAAATACATACTCACATATATGAAGCATGATATATAACAGAAGTGCCATTATAAATCAGGGAGGAAAGGATTCAATAGTGGGATAACTGGCTGTTCATATGGAAAAATAAATTTAGATCCCTACCTCATATCACACATTTAATAAATTCCAGGCTGACTAAAAGTCAAGCAGGTGATAATTATCTGACACTTATAAATTAAGTATCAAGAGGGGCACCTGAGTGGCTCAGTCGGTTGGGTGTCTGCCTTCCGCTCAGGTCATGATCCTGGAGTCCTGGGATCAGCCCCCCATTGGGCTCCCTGCTCAGTGGAGAGCCTGCTTCTTCCTCTACCTGCTGCTCCCCCTGTTTGTGCTCTCTCTCTCACTCTACCTCAAATAAATAAAATCTTAAAAAAAAAAAATTAAGTATCACCAGAAATTTGAAGAAGTTTACAGTTTTTCTGGATCATGTTGTGGGGGTACTACAAAAGGTTAATTCCAGTTCTATCACTTAAAAATATAAAAATGTAATAACGGAGGCTCGGCGCGCCTGGGTGGCTCAGTTGTTAAGCGTCTGTCTTCGGCTCAGGTCATGATCCCAGCATCCGGGGATTGAGCCCCGCATCAGGCTCCCTGCTCGGCGGGAACCTGCCTCTCCCTCTCCCGTTCCCCCCTGCTTGTGTTCCTGCTCTCGCTATCTCTCTGTGTCAAATAAATAAATAAAATCTTAAAATAAATTAAAAAAAATGAAATGAAATAAAATAAAATAATGGAGGCTCATATGACAATTTAGCTCTCAATCTGTAAGGTATCTGTTTAAAAATCAGAGTAGTCAGAAAAACCCAAAACAACTGTTTACCTCATCAAGTTCAACAAGGATATTTCCACTACTTCCTGCAGGAAGATCTGCTATTTGAGCTTTTACTGCTTTAGGGGTAGGACCTCGCCTACTTGTGATAGCAAAAGCAGCTTTCTGATGCCTGTAGAGTGTAATTATACCTCTGTGTTTGGTGACTGTATGGTGCATCCCATCTTTTTCGGAGTTGGATCCTAAAAGGAAAAAAGTTAAATAACTTTTTAGCATAATATAGGTGACCAAATGCTTCCTGTTTCAAAACAGATACAACATATTTTTAAAAGTATGTCTTTAAGCTTCAATTTTTATAAGCCAATGACATTTTCTTTAGCCAATGAAATGGTAACAAAACAGTCAATAATTTACATTAAGTTAAATGTTTTGATATTTGCATAGGACCATACTTAATATAAAATTGTAGAATCATGTTAACAAGAAATATGACACGCAAGAATGATTCTGAGCCTTCAAAGTATATATTTTTAAAAAATGAATGACTGCTTCTAGGCATAAAAAGAAACAAAAACTTGCAAGCAAGTTCTAAAAGAAATGTCCACAGTCACCATAAATTCAGAAACATCAACCACTGCAAAATGTTACTGGCTCAAATAACATTAGGGGTTGGCAGGGGGAGGGGAGGGAGGCTGTTACCCTATTATAGTATTTTTTTTAATGTTTTTTATTATGTTATGTTAATCACCATACATTACATCATTAGTTTTTGACCCTATTATAGTTTTAAGATAAGAATATTCAAAATGTCACTTTCTCTTTCAGTTTGTTCACATTTTTTTAAGACCTATACTGTGCCAAAGTTGTAAATTTATTACATTTTGAATAATCTGCTTTTCCAAAATCTTATAAACAAACAAACAAAATCATATAGGACTAAGGCATGTAAAGAAACATTGGTCCTTGATACTAGCCTGCAGAGAGCAATTCTTATTTTCCAGATGAAATCAGAATGGCTACGCATTATTTGCTAAAGGCGAGTTCACTTATAAGACATGCACTAAATTAGAGAAACCAGAGTTTTATAGGAAGAATTTTTATTCAACATTTGATACAATTAAGTCTTCTAGCCCCATAAACAGTAAAACTTTAAAATGATCTGGAAAGAGAGGGAAGGGTTAACACCTGTTTCATAGATTTCAGTCATCTTATATGAAATATCAGGTCTTTTATGAATAGTTTGAGTTTAGAGGGTTGTTATTTGATTACCAATATATGCAAAATGGGAAAAGCTCTAACATAGACTGGATTTGTGTTTAAATGATGCCTACAGTAAATGAAAACAAATTTAAATGGTTAATTCTCTACCCCAAATGTAGGTTTAGATATATACCTTTAGAATTGTCCTGGCCACTTTGTGTTGGTACTGGACATGTGACACAAGGAGTTAGATAAGGGTCCACACAAAGTGAGCTACAGAGGTTTTTAATAATTTTTGAATTGGGGCAGGGTGTCCTTGTTGTACACTGCTGAAGTAGTTTTGCTATGCACTGAGCTGCATAGTTTTGCACTAGTGTATTCTCTTCTTTTTTAATCGTCTCCATTAATGGCTTTATGATAGGATTTAATTTCTCTGGAAGCTGCTGCAAACTCACAACTGCACATGCAGCAAAAGTATGCACTCTCAACTGCAGCACTTGCCACTCCTGGTTGGTCTCTGTAACTGTCATGTGGACCTGCTGTCGTTTACTATCTAACTGCTGTAACACTTGAGGATTTAAATCGAAAGATGATGTGACTTCATTAAAAACAGTAGTGACCTATTAAAAAAGAGAAATTAAAAATCATTAATGACATCAATCAAACAGTCCGTAAACTAAAGGGCAACAGCAAGCTTTGTTTCAATTTTAAGTTTCACAGTATCTAGTATTATTTTAGTATTCAGTAAACTAAATAAATATCTAAAACGTCCCAGTTTTAAACTTTAATCTGACTTAACATTAGCACTGTATTCTTTAAGATAGTCTTCATGCAACACCATCACAATAGCACTGACTACACTGCCTATGCTCTGTCATATACCTGAAACTAATGTAACACTGGTGTGTCAACTACACACACACACACACACACACAGTCTACCGAGATGAACAAAATTACCTATCCCTTAAATATATCTAATAAGTTTAAGAGAAAATTACATGGAATGCCAACATAGTAGTTTGGTGAAATGAGAAACCTATCAGCAAATATAAACTAACTTAATTAAGGGATACCAAATCTCACAAACCTCCTTTCAGGGAAAAATATTCTTCCCAATTTAAAAACTTTTGGGGCAGCTATTGCTAAGTGGCTAAGTGTTGCTAACTGAATTATTTTCATTCTTTCTTTGACCTCCCTTCTCACGAAAATGCCCAGGGGTTGGGAGGGGGAGCATAAAAAAGGGAAAGAAACTGGGGCAATAGTCATGAATATTTTACTTACCAAGAACTGCCTAAAGCTATAACCCTCTGACATCAGACAACTTTACAAGCCACATTAAATGACTGTTTAATACATCTTTAACAATTTTGAGATATAATTTACATATATAATACACACACTTAAAGTGTACAATTCAATGATTTTTATTCTATTCACAGAGTTGTACAACCATCACAATTTTAGAACATTTTCATCATCCCCTATATAAAATTCATACCTATTAGCAATCATTCATTTCTTTCCAGCCCTATGCAACCACTTATATATTTTTCTATCTTTATAGATTTGCCTATTCTGGACATTTCATATGAATGGACTAATACAGTATGTAATCTCCTGTGACTGGTTTCTTTCATTTAGCATGCTTTCAAGGTTCATCAGTGTTGTAGTGATGAATGTGGTATTTCTTCTTTTCATAGTGTTTTTTTTAAGATTTTATTTATTTATTTCTCAGAACAAGAGCGAGAGCGAGTAAATGAGCGCGCGCGAGAGAGCACAAGCAGGAGGAACGGCAAGCAGAGGGAAAAGCAGGCTCCCTGCTGAGCAAGGAGCCTGATGTGGGACCCAATCCCAGAACCCTGGGATCATGACCTGAGGTGAAGGCAGACGCTTAACTGACTGAGCCATCCAGGTGTCCCAAATGTGGTACTTCTTTCCCTTTTCTTGCCAAATATCCCACACTATATGGATATAACCACATTGTATTTATCCATTCATTATTTAAAGATCATTTCCACCCTTTAGTTACTATACTGAATAATGGTTCTGTGAAGATTTATGTACAAGTTTTTGTGTGAGCATGTTTTTTTAATTACCATCTAGAGATTGTGTGATGGCTTACATAACAAAAATAGTCTTCTTGTTTGACAGGTAACTGTAATCATTTAGAGGCTCTACAAATAGATCCAGTCTGATGAATATTAGAGAAGCCTGTAACATTGAAGAATCTTTTTTTTTTTTCCCTTAAATGCAGAACCTAAATTTTTCAGACTTACAAATAATTTTATTATGGACAAGACTGATAATACTGGCCTCTTATTATGAAAAACAAAACAGGCACACTTAATTAAGATCTCCTTTTATAAACTGAGCTGTATCTACTTGACCTTGTCCATTTGCTCACTACAAAGAAACACAATCACATACCAGCTCATACTTTCCACTTCATTTTATTTACTTGAGTTCTGCATAAGATTTATCAGAAACAGGATTTCACTGCTAAAAGTTTGACTGTCCTAAATATACTATGCTTCTGTCAATTTTCAATGATTCTAAGCTAAGGAAAAGCTTTCCAATCACCCCAAATTCATTAATTCGTTCACTCATTCAACAAGAATCTACTGAAAAATACTAAAAGATGAGTAAGACAATGTCTTCATACACTCAAAAAATATAGAGAAAGAGAAGTAAACAAGACAATGTAACATATAACCGAGATAAGTGCAAGTTACTGTGGGACACATGGGTTGCTTAACTCTTCTCAGGGGATAAGATTAGTGGAGGCTGCCAGATGAAGTTAACACTTGTGATTTTTATTTTTCTTGAAGATTTTATTTATTCGAGGGACAGAGTGCGCATGTGTGAGCAGGGGGAGGGGCAGAGGGAGAGGGAAAGTAGCTCGAGCAAACTCTGTGCTGAGCACGGAGCTGGGCATGGGGCTTGATCTCACGACCCTGAGATCATGACCTGAGCCAAAACCAAGAGTTGGATGCTCAACCAAGTGAGCCACTGAGGCGCCCCTTGTAATGGGGTTCTTAAAGAATGGGTTAAGTCTGGAGTTGTAAGGACATCTTGGCAAATAAAGTGAGGTGGTGAGTGGAAAGTGAGGCATTCTCCAGGGAACTGAGAACAGCTGATCATGGCCTGAGTATAGGGTGCAGATGGAGGAACGTTAAGAGATGAAACTGGGATAAACACAGAGGGTTGAGGGCAGGCAATTCCTGACAAAAGAAACAGGAGCTAACACTCAGAAGTGAGAATGAGTGAGGCAGAGGAAGTGAGTGAGCATGGTACACTTCTACAAGGAAAGAAGCTAACCACCCTGAAGGGGAGGAAGTTCGAGAAATAATGAAAAGAAAAGAGATGAGAAATTTAGAGAAGGTGTGAAAAGAAAGGAAAAAACTAAGATCAAGGAAAACAAAAACAATGTTTTTAAGCAGGGGAGGGATGCCTTCAGAGTGGAACTAAAGGGCTTTACAAGTCTGGCACAACATGGGAGATGAAATGGACCAGAGACCACCTGCAGCATTAGAGATGAGTCAGGACCTAGTCATAAAGTACTAAGGCCCTTGACCAAGTTGTGGCAATGAAAACCGAGAAAAGATAAACGTATGAGGCTTTCTGAAAGGAAATGGTAGCAAGATTTACAACTGTAAAAGGCAAACTGAAAAAGGCATTTTACTGTTAAAAAAAAAATTCCAGTTTTGGTTGTGTTAAGCTGAAGTGACAATGAGCTATCCAACTAAAAATCCCTAATAGAAGAACTTCAAGAGATCAAGAGAAGAAAGCATGGCACAAGGATAAGAACTAAATTGTGAGAATGGTGACAAAGATCTTAGGGAAATGTTTATATTTGGCAGGTAAGAGAAAAATAGGGAGTCAATGGAAAGATTAATGAAATAGCTGCTCTAAGCCAAGAATAAGACTAACCTTTTAAAATTGCCCTAAATAAATAAATAAATATTAAAAAATTGCCCTTGCTGGGTTGGGGAGGTGGATGAAATAGGTGATGGGGATTAAGGAGTGTACTTGTTATGATGAACACTGGGTGATGCACAGAATTGCTGAATCACTATATTGTAAACCTGAAACTAATATAACACTGTATGTTAACTGGAATTAAAATAAAAACTTTTTTTTTTTAAGTGAGCCAAGACTAGTATTTTTATTTGCCAGTACTTTTAGGTCGGATATAATTTACAAAGAATGATTTGCACATAATTTACAGAGATCAAAAGTGTAAAATTTGTTGATACACCCATGTAACTACCACTCCCATTAAAATACAGAACATTTTAATTCCCTAGAAAGTTTTGCCCCTTTTTAGTCAACCCCTCCCCCGACCTGCTTAAGAACCAACCAGTTTTCCTATTTCTATCTCTATAGGTTGATTTTGCCTTTTAGAACATCATATAAACGGAATCTTACAGTATGTACTTTTGTATGCAGGCATAAAATAAAAACCTTAAAGTAAAATAAATAGCCCTTCCCTCAATACTTTCTTCCTGAGATTCTGATGTACTAGGTCAACACCACTTAATTAAGTCCATGAAACAGAACAGTAGTTTCACTGAAGAGTAAGAGGTTTGAATAAGAAAGGCCTGAAGAAGGGATCATTTGATAGCTTTACTTTTATTTAAAGATTTTATTATTTTTTTATTTTAAAGAGAGAGAGAGCGTGTGGACGTGCGAGTGGGGGGGAGGGGGCAGAGGGAGAGGGAGAAGCAAAGTCCGTACTGAGCACAGAGCCCGAAGTGGGGCTGGATCCCACGACCCCAAGATCACGACCTTAGCTGAAATCAAGAGTTGGACACCTAACCAACTGAGACACCCCGGTGCCCCTGATAGCTTTAAAAGGAAAACGTTTCCATAGAAAAGCAAAAAAACAAAACAAAACAAAAAAAACACCCAAAAAAACCCACCAGACCAAGTGGGACTATATCCATTATTGAGAAATAATGAAAGAGATGAGGAATTTAGAGGTCTGAACAGAAAGAAAGGAAAAAAACTAAAATCAAGGAAAGCAAAAATAATGTTTTTAAGCAGGAGAGGGATGCCTTCAGAGTGGAACTAAAGGGCTTTACAAATCCTTTGCCCCTCCCCCTACTCAAACACACGCACGCTTGCGCGCGCTCTCTCTGCACTGAATGGTTCAGTTAAATGTCTGCCTTTGGCTCAGGTCATGATCCTAGGGTCCTGGGATGGAGCCTTGGCAGCCTCAGCTGGGAGTCTGCTTCTCCCTCTCCCTCTGCCCCTCTCCCCACCTCAGTCTCAAATAAATAAAATCTTTTAAGGGGGGGGAGGGGCACCTGGGTGGCTCAGTCGTTAAGTGTCTGCCTTAGGCTCAGGTCATGATCCCAGGGTCCTGAGATAGAGCCCGGCATCAGGCTCCCTGCTCTGTGGGAGGCCTGCTTCTCCCTCTCCCCCCTCCCCCGCTTGTGTTCCCTCTCTCGCTGTGTCTCTCTCTGTCAAATGCATAAAAATCTTTAAAATAAATAAATAAATAATAAAGGCGGCGGGGGAGGCCAGGGTGGCTCAGTCAGTTAATTGTCTGCCTTCGGCTGGAGTCATGATCCCAGGGTCCTGGGATCGAGCCCCATGTCAGGCTCCCTGCTCATCGGGGAGTCTGCTTCTCCCTCTCCCTCTGCCCCTCCCCCTGCTCCTTCTTTCTCTCTCTCTCTCTCGCTCACTCTCAAATAAATAAATAAAATCTTTAAAAAATAAATTAAAAAAAACTAAAAACCTTCTTCACAGGAAGAAAACCACCAACAAAATGAAAGGGAAGCCTACTGAATGGGAGAAGATATTTGCAAATCATATATTTGATAAGGAATTAATATGAAAAATACATAAAGAACTCATATAACTCAACAACAAAACAAAAACAATCTGATTAAAAAATGGGCAGATGATCTGAATAATTTTTCCAGAGAAGACATACAGATGGCCAATAGGTATACGAAAAGATGCTCTATAATCACACTCACATCAGGGAAATGCAAATAAAACCACAATGAGATAACATTTCACCACCTACCGGAATGGCTTATCAAGAAGACAAGAAATTACAAGTGTTGTCAAGGATGTGGAAAAAAGGGAACCCTTGTGCACTGTTAGTGGGAACGTAAATTGCGGCAGCCACTATGGAAAACAGTATGGAGGTTCCTCAAAAAACTAAAAATAGAACTACCATATTACCCAGCAGTACCACTTCTGGATATTTATCTGAAGAAAATGAAAACACTAACTTGAAAAGATATATGCACCCCTCTGTTCACTACAGCATCATTCACAACAGCCAAGATACAGAAACAATCTAAGTGTTCATGGATGGATGAATGAGTAAGGAAGATGCAGTATATATCCACAATGGAATACTACCTTAGCCATAAAAGAGAATGAAATTTTCCATCTGTGACAACATGGATAGGCCTTGAGGGCATTCTGCCAAGTGAAATACATCAGAGAAAGACAAATACCTTATGATTTCACTTACATGTGTAATCTAAAAAACACATGAACAAATAAAGCTAATAGATACAGAGAGTAGAATGGTAGCTGCCCAGAGGGGAGGGAGGTTTGGAGGAGGAGAGCAAAATGGGTGAAGGAGGTCAAGAGGTACAAACTTCCATTATAAAATAAATAAGTTATGGGAATGTAATGTACAGCATGATGACTATAGTCAATAATATTACCATATTTGGAAGTTGCTAAGACAGTAAACCCTAGAAGTTTTCATCGTAAGAAAAATAAAATTAAAAAAAAAATTCCTTCAGTAGGGAGGGAAGACAGAGTGAAGGTTGAGATTTCATTCCAAGAAGGCAAAAAAAAAAAAAAAAGAGAGAGAGAGAGAGAAGAAAGGGGGAAATGGGGCGCCTGGGTGGCTCAGTTGGTTAGGCGACTGCCTTCGGCTCAGGT